TTTTGCACTTCTTGTTTCGTGAGAGGTCTATTTTCCGAGAGTAAGGCAGTGAGAGTTTTTATGGAGTGCTTGAGTCCTTTGATTTCTTTTTCTAGACTATGATTTTTCTCAATAATGGCCTTGAAATTTTTCAAATGGACTCTACTAGACAGGCAGATCCTGTCGTAGATAACCGAAAGATTATGGGCTAGTTCTTTTCTTGTAGGATTTATGGTTTCAGCAAGATCAAGGTAGTCAAGCTTAGAGGTATGGGAATTAGCATACCATTGTTGTATAGCTTCTTCCCATCTATCAGACATCTATTTCAAACTAGAGGATCATGAGCCTTTCTTCCCTGTTCTTTTTGCTTCGTTGCTTCACCTTTTCAGTGTGCTTACGGGTCTCCTTGCCCTTTTGACACCTTACGTCTATTAGCAATTTCACACTTGGAACAGAAAGTACTAATTCGGCTTTTGACAGCAATTGTATGGCTTAGAAGCAAGACGGCTTTAGTACTATATAGAATTGAAGAAATAAGTTGTTAAAGGGATTGATTTTATTTATTAAGGTAATACGTATTTATATAGATTTTGCTCATGTACTCGTAATCAAATCAATTATTCAAATCAAGAATATTATTCCATGTTTTATCTGTACCATGATCTTCTATCAATAATATTATCATGTAATATTTTTATAATATAATATTCATCCAATCAATTTATTTTCTTAAAACTTTTAGTCCAATGAGGTGCACAGGATTTAGTCTGAGTCTCATTTAATAGTTTTTTTACCAACAAATTGCACACAGCGAAATCTCGATCTAAGAGCTCGAAAATGGATGAGTAGACCATGTGAATCACGTCTTGTTATATTTCTTGAACCAGACAATAATGATGATTATAGCTTAGTGATGTGAGGATCAATAAGTATTAGCCCAATTACTTGGATAACAGGTTAATTGGAGGACAAAAAATTCAATTACGAAAAGAAATCCTTAGAAATTAGAATATAATGTTCCTTGAGGTCGAAGGATATACGAGGGATTCGAGAATTGGATTTAGATTAACTCAAGAAAAAATTTTATTTCTTACACTGTACACTAAGTTTTATCACGCTCAATGATTCTACAGTTTAGTTGCATTCAAGTCTGGAAGACAATCAACTAGATTATATCAGATTTGATATAAATACAATTAACAAGTTAATGAAAATATTGTCATTTGCTAATTTTTTGTCGATAAATATATATATATACAAGTTTCATTTTGCATAATCGCAGTGTACCTTTACAATCATAATGAATAATGTTACAGGATGTATTGGAGAAAAAAAAATAGAGGAAGAATAGATAAAATCCTTTTACCATTCAACTTTAGAACAAGTGGCATCAATTGAAGTTCGTCAACTTTTATAGAGCCCCTGATTCAATGGCTTTGTTCAGTAATTTAAGAAGAGATAACACAATAATCAAGAAAGAGGATATTTCTATAAATTAGAAATTTTTTTTTATGGACAATGCTATTATGAAGGACGAAGGTATAATTGGAAATTGATTTCGTATCTAGAGAATTAGAAATATCAAATGATATCTAAGCTATATCAAAACTATTATTATATTAAATGAAGAATTTCATAATCTGAGGATTAATCTTTTGATTAATAGGACTGTTTATGTTTTAATAGTAAGTATGATAAAAAAAAAAAAAAGGCAAATTTTTCTAGAGGCTTTTGATACTTACCTCGAATAACATCTCCTTTTTAGTCAATGTTCCAACTGTTTTCTTATATTACAAATTAAATATTCTTAACAAGAAATGAATTTAAGCTATTTAGCATTTTTAATGTTTACACTGTATTTATCATATTTTCTATCAATTCACTTATTAATTTCATACCTACTTTGGCCCAAAACTACAGGTTGGTGCTGTCTGCCCAATTTATATTAACCAACCTTAGTCTCATTACACAAAATTGCAGAAAATTTAAATTAAGAATTCTTACGTAAATTCGATACAAACTTAAGCTGGTTGAGCGTGCACCGAGATAGTAAAGACGTCGATATAGCTGATAACAAGTCCTGGATCAAATCCTACCTTCACCCCTTCCGACCTGCTTAGAGAAAAGGGAATACAGGTTTCCAAGACGTCAATAAAATTTTTCATTCAGATCCTAAAAGAAAAAGGCAAAAGAAAGTTAAATTATGATAGTACAACTCATCATTTGCTTGCGCCAAATGATCAAATTTCATCACAACAAACAGATTCGAAGCAGTACAAAAAAAGAGGCAGGCTAACATTTTTTTTTAATTGCTTAGACTGAGGCAGTAGGATGCAGATCAAGAAATTCATGCCAATTCTGGAATATAACTTCAATATTTGAAAGACTTAAGATGGAACTATTGATAGCCTCGTTGCAGTCTCCAATATCATAGAGCCATAAAACATTTAGTTACAATATTTCCTTCAACAATCTTTCTCGACCATATTTAACTACAAATGCAAATTTAACAGACCACCTTACTAGTGCAGCACAATCCACTGTTGCGTAACTGCTGATACCATTACGAGATTGCTGAGGTAACGTGCTAGTCACGAGGACTTGAAGAAACTGCACGAGTTGATATCTGTCGTCATAAAGATAACAAAGGCCAAGATTTCCAGAGAAAAAAAAAAACATCTCAAGTTGATATCCACTTGATAACATTGTTTGATCAAGGGAATGTGCAAAAGTTCACATCTTTAGCAAGCAATATGGATATTTTGTCATCGTTTATCTCTGTACAAAACAACACAGTTAATTAAATTAAGATCATATAAATATTTATTTATCATTTCTAATAAGATCCTATTAGAGTTTGTTCTGATCTCCTCATAATATTAATATTAATTATTTCACCTTCTTTGACTATAGTACCTATGAATATTGTTACCACATCATGAATGAAAATTCTGATTAATTTTATCCCATATAGAAACTACAATTAATTATTCATGAATGAAAATTAAGATCTTTAACATAAAAAAGCTTTCTAATTGAAAGATAATTGTAGAATGGGCGATGTAGCAAATTAGAGGAAATGAATATGTCAAAATTGATATAATTGCAATGTATCTACCTTTAAAATTATACCAGTAACTTAAACTCTTGCATCAATTTCTGCATCCAAAGGCCCACTATCTGAATCTTTTGCAGATGTATGAGTTCTGTCTGAAAATAAATGGATTGAATAAAACATGCATCCAAGTAAAGGAGAATTATAAATTATAGCTTTTTTAAAATTTATGTTTACATGCTATACATTATAAAAAAGATCTGTAATATGGTTCCAAACAACTGGATCATGTGACTTTGAAAAAAATAAATCATTACAAATTATGGGTGGCTCAACACAATTTAACCCAGAAGGAGGCTGTTTCTGAGACTCAAACCACGTGCCATGACATTACAAATTATAAATACAGAAAGGATACATCTCAAACTTAAAGATGTCAGACAGGATACTCAGGTTGACAGTTGACATTACCATTCAGAATAGACAACTCAAGATTTTTATGTGGAACAAGGTGATATAGAAAGGATTAAATTTATTCTGATGATGATAGACGTCAGGAAAAGGTCCTACCAGTTCATGTCTTTTTTTTTTTTAAAAGAATATAGTTTTTTGAAAGCCCTAAACCCTACCAGTTCATGTCAAAGAACAGATTTGCTGCAATACTGGATCCAAATTGCACAGATAGCAAATTTGTACTGACTCCATAAATTTCAACAAAATCCTATGTAAGTAGATGAATGTGAACCTATAGACTGATGTGGTGCTAAATTTATGTTGTAGTTTTCAGATCAGAGCAGTCAAACAAATTAGAAGCCTGCTGAAATTTGTGGCTACCCTCAAGTTTATGTTTGATAAGGAATCAAAGTGGAAACTAAAACAAATAATGGCATTACTGAAGAAATATGGTATGGTCTTGTTCTACTACTGCATATATTGTAATAATATAACAGTACCGTAACAGCAGGTGGTAAGGTCTGGTTTAAGCTCTTTTCCAATCCATTCCAACACAAGAAGTGGTGGAGGCAAAGCAGAAACCCACAGATAAAATATGAAGGATGAAGGAAGCAGCTGGTACAATGAACAGATGACTATCAAAAAAAGGATAAAATATGCACTGTGGGAAGGCATACAAAATAGAGATTGAATCTGATACAGATATATTGGTTAAGACATTAAACAAAGAGACACATCTACCTTGGTTCCTTATAAATAATGTTAGAAATGCTATCAAGAGCAATTTCAAGAATGCAGAATCTTTCACATACATATAGAGAAGGAAATAGGAGGGTTCACTGGTTACCTAAGTTTACCAAACAACCAATGACCAATAGGATCTGGAAGATGAACAGACATTGAAATTGTATTTACTATTTCATTTTGTTCTTTGATAAACAGAGCATGGGTCATATTAAAATGTTGCAGTGATATATCCACTTCTTTCAGAAGAAAAAAAAAGGACATACAAAAAGATGAAGATAAAGCAAGCACACACCTTCTAGTTTCTAAAAAGCAAAGTATGCAGTTTCGAATAATACCGCTCATACCGGGCGGTACGTACCGGTCCGTCAGCTGACCGGTACACAGACTGCCCGTTACCGGACAGTATATATATATATTCAGCAACGTCGCCCGGAGAAGAAAAAAAATACATATATATATTTTAAAGGCGAAGTCGTGTTGCCTTTTATAAAAAATATTTTATATATAAAAAATCTTTTATATATAAATATTATATATAAAAAAAATCTTGTATATATAATAAATATTTTTAAAATATTTTATATATAAAAATGAGACGACGTCGCCGAATTATATATATATATATATATATATATATATATATATATATACCAAGCGATATACCGAACGGTATACTGCTCGGTATATACCGTTCGATATACTGTATCGTACCGTACCGAGTGAATGTCGAAACGTCGATACGGTACGATATTTCAAACCTTGCTAAAAAGTACTTCTGCGTATCGATTCTCCGACCAGCCATGGTAGAAGATATAAGTCCATCAATCACCACTACTCATGTCGGCTTTTGTTATGTCAAGAGAAAAATAACCTTTTATTGGTTGAGTCCCATATGTATCAAAACTTCCAAAATTTAGTAAACAGCCTAGTGTTCTATGTAGATATATAAAACTAATTCCATCCACTATTCAGGAGAATCTAAAAATTATCTGAATTAAATAATGTATACCTAAGGAAGGACAGACACCATTCTACATAAATAAGAGCAAGGTTTTGAATATCGGTTCATACCAAGCTCTGTTCGATACGATACATACTGTAATGTACCGTTGGTATACCAAGGCGTACTGACAGTATACTCTAAAATCTTAAAAATACTTCCACCTATCACACCAGGGCGTACCGATCGGTACGCCTCGGTAATGGTCGAAATCCGAGACGATATCGGTCGGTACACCTTGGTACCGATCGGTATGCCTCGGTACCGGTCAAAACACTGATACCGCTCGGTAGAGGGCAGTCCGTATATTGGTATCCTCTCAGACCAGTACGTACCGCTCGTACCGAACGGTACACATCGAAATTGAGAACCCTGAATAAGAGTTCAATCCTATAAAAAGATAAATCTAATGAACTAATTCAAACTCACAAAAAAACTAAAAATAGACCAGCCTAAAATATTCCTGATCTAAGTCAGACTTTAGATTACAAGAGTTTATACTGAAATTTTTTCCATTAGCTTTTACTGCATTACAACTAAGGTATTTCATGGTTGAATTAACTGGCTTAGACCACTACATTTCATGGTGGCAAAGCAGAATAATCAATGTGAAAATTTTATTTTAATCAAAGTCTCTAAAGAGAAGTGAAATCTTACAAAATTTTGCAACACTTTTTGTAGAATAAGTGGATAAAAAATATGTATTGGACCTCATTCATATCAATGTTCACTAGACCCTTCAGGGACCAACCTAGCACTAAGGCAAGGCCGGCGCCCTTGGAGCACCTCAATCACACCAAGGCAAGGCTCTCTTTTTCTAAAGCACTATCTAGACAAGCACCACACTAGAGGCATTAGGTGAGGTGTCCACCTAACTAAGTCATTTTCATTTTTCTTTTTTTTATTATACATACAATAACTTTCTTTGAGCAAATTCCTTAGAAAAACCTCTATTCATTTCAGTTGTTGACGCATGAAATTATGTCTTTTCTTAATTTAATCCAATTTAAGGTGAATTTATAACCCTTACGACAAAAAACCACTTGAGTATTATTATAGATCTTTTGAAGTTTTAATAACACAAAAAAATTTTGGATACCTAAGTTACTTTACTTTCAAATGGGTTAATTATTTTTTGGGTCCAATTCAAAAAATAGTATAACCAAAGTCAAAATCATATTCAACTTATAAAGGCATAAACTATCATTTTTTATTTTTATGCATTTAAAATAAGTATATTTTATTTATTTTGACGTTTAAAACTATGAAATTATGTTATTTTTTAATTTTAGATGAATTTACCACCCATTTGGGACAAAAATCACTTAATATTAGTATAGAAATTTTTTTGAGGTAGACAACAAATTTTTAAAGACCATTACACTGTTTTGTTTTGAATGAGGTATCGTATTAAAAAACAATATAAACAGTTCAAGAAATTTTATTTATGTAAATGTAACTCACTTCCCATATTTTTCAAAAATTTCTTAATTTTCAGAAAACCTTAACAATAACTTTAAAAGGCCTAAATGATCATTTATTTTTTTTACTTTAAAGTAAGTATTTTTATTTATTTTAGTCTTTTAAAATCATGAAATTGAATATTATTATAGACTGTATACTGAAGTTTTAAGGACATAAAAAGTTTTTAAAGACCTAAGTATCACTGTTTAAATTTTGAAGAGCAGTGTAACCTCATTCAAAAACAATGTAAATTACAGCCCATTTTCCAAAATGTTTTAAATTTCAAAAAACATTAAAAATAACTTACAAAAGTCTAAATGATTATTTTTTCTAGTTTTTAGCCTTTACAATAGATAAATTTTATTTATTTCAACCCTTTCAAATCATGAAATTATATCATTTTTTAATTTCTTACAATTTAAGGTTAATTTATTACCCTTTGGGGCAAAAAACACTTGAACATAAAGAAACAAAAAAATACTTGAGTTTCACTAATTTTGAATGAGATTACACTATACTTTGAGTCCTATTCAAAGATAGTAAGTACATCATCAATCAAAAATAGTGTCATTCACATCCCACATTTTTCAAAAACAATTAATTTTTTCAAAAACATTCCAAATAACTTATAAAGACCTAAATGATCATTTTTTATTATATATATTATTATAATGAGCATCCTGAAGCACACTATAATAATATACAAGTAACACTGTTTTAAGGATATAAAAAATTTTAAAGACTTGAGGAACACTGTTCTTAAATAGTGTTACACTGTGTTTGAACCATATTAAGAAAGTAACCTAATTCAAAAACAATATATATCATATCTTATTTTTTTTCCAAAAATTCTCTAGGTTTTAGAAAATCATTCAAACAACTTATAAAAACCTAAATGATTTTTTAAGCTTTTAAAATAAATATTTATTATTTATTTTAGCCTTTTAAGAGCATGAATTTATGTTTTTTTTCTAATTTTACCTATTTAAGATGAATTTACCATCCCATTGGGACAAAAATCATTTGAATATTTTTATAGAAAATTTGAATAATATAAACAAAATTGAAGACATGAAGTTCTTCAATGAGATTATATTGTTTTTGGATTATATTCAAATAGAGTGTAACCCATTAAAAAATAGTGTGGCTCACATTTGATCTGTCCCTTAATTTCTTAAACTTTTAGGAAACCTCGTAAATAACTTACCAAGGCCTAAATGATTATTCTTTTCTATCTATAAGCCTTTAAAATAGATACCAAGGTTTGTGATTTTGTACTGTACCGAAGTTTTGAGCTCAGTTCGGTATAGTATGATATAAGTATACCGAGCGATACATTTCGATATACCGCTCAGTATATATATATATATATAATGACAACTCTGCCTGCGTGAGGAGCCACGCAAAAAAAAAAAAAAAAGGGAGGTGACGTTGCTCAGTTTCCCAACACAAAGGGAAAGGCAACGTCGCCTCGGTTTCCCCATGCAAAAAAAAAACGAAAAGGGCTCAACGATGTCGCTCGATTTCCCCACGCAAAAAAAACAAGGAAAGGCGACATCTCCTCAGCGACATTGCTCGGTTTTCCCGTGCGAAAAAAAACAAAAAAAAAGAAAGGCATCGCCTCACACGATTTCTTCTGCTGGGGAGAAGAGATCGCTTCTCCCCGCGACGTCATCGAGGCTTTGTCGCTGCACCGGATCTTTAGGTTTTCTTCTTTCTTCTCCCTTTCTTTCTTCTCCGACGCCGATCGATGCTACCGCTCAGTAGCGGGCGGTCCATGTACCAGTCTATTAACGGACTGATACATACCGCTTGGTACAGACGGTATTATTCGAAATTAAAATCCTTGATAGATTTTTTTATTTATTTTCATATTTTAAAGATATAAATTTTATTATTTTTAATTTTACCTAATTTAAGGTTTATTTTATCACCTTTTGGGATTAAAACCACTTGAATATTATTATATTATATTTGAATGGGGCTACACTATTTTTGAAGTCCTAATGAAAATCACATCAAACATTTTTCAAAAATTCTCAAATTTTCGAGTAACGCATCAATTGATTTAGTTTGAATTAGTTGATCAAACTGAATGAGTTGGTTTAATATGAGTTTCAAAAGGGAGGTAGATGAGGAAAAGGACAAATAAGTTGTTGAGTGTATTTTTATTGTTTTGAAAATTAGAAGCACTCTGCGGGAAAAAATCAAAATAGGAGCATTTTGCAGGAAAAAAAATAAAACTAGGAGCTCTTTTAGAAAATGTGCCCATTTTCTTTTATATTGGTCTAGGAGTAAAGTTTTGAAAGTAAGAGAGGCTTTGAACTGTTTGTGTCCAGCTGTCTAGGCATCCAACTATAAGCATGGACAAAATATAAAGAAAGAAATTCTATAAAGCTAAAAGACATAAATTTTAAAGTCAAGAAGTCTAGTAACAGTGAAGCATAATCACTGGTATGGATGTGAATATATGTAAAATAAAGGTCAATCGTCAACAGAAAGCTCCTAAACATCTCAGACACTAATACAGATTTTCAAAGTTAGATTTGGCTTGCTATGCATGTGAATATCTGAAGATTTTGTATGTTCTTGACTCTTATGGCTTCTCATTACTGGATCAGCATAATGTGGTGATATTTTTGTGACTTGTTATTATCAATCTTTTTCATTGACAGTTCAGGCTGGTAAAAGTTAAGGCTACCAAGTTCAGATGTCAAGTTACTTGTTTTAAAATCAAAGCAGCGATATACCTGTTCTTTCACCATTGATTCCTGCAACTCTCTTGGATCTTTTAGAACTCCGGGAAGTTTTGTCTGAAATCTCACTGAATAGATTATTATATTTTTCCAATAGTTTATTCTTTTTCTCCAATAAACCAAGGACTTCATATGCATCTCCTACTTTTCTCACAACAGATTTACTTGGTGGTTTCCGATCGTATGCCTCAAGTTCTTGGAAAAGCTGCATAGTTGGAGGAAGGACAAAAGGGAGCTATAAAAATACCAGAAATCATTGATCTAACATTCAACTTCGAGACAAAATAGAGACAATTATTTTGACATAATTGTCCATTAGTGAAAAGGCATATGGTTAGAAAAGAGTACCTTTACAAGCCTCTCTAGCATGTTATTTCTGTAGTAGATGGAAAGCATAAGATCACAAAATCGCCAAGGGACTGAATGCAAGTCATGGCTAATATTCTTCACCCAAATTCTGTGGGCCTCCTCAGCCCTGTTGTCCTTTTCTAAAGCACGTATTAATTGCTCATATGTACCCATTGTTGTTCCTTGGCCCTTGCTTAACATCCATTTTATCACCTAATGGAAATTATACTTCACCCTTAATTTAGATGCTAGAAGAAGACGGAAATAGGAGCACAAGCAGGAGCACAAGTAAGGTGAAACTAATGAAGTTCAAAACACTTCAACAAAAAATGCTGATACCTGTACAACTCGATGCCACTGTTCCTCCTTTTCAAGAACAAGAAGTGCCTTCTTGAGTGTAACCAAAGGAAAGCTATGCTCCCATGCTACCCAAGCATCAAGGGTACCATATACAGCCTCTTTGGAATCTTTAAGGTCAAGAAGCTAGGAAAGCGTGTTTTATTTATTAGATGATCAATTTAAAGGAAAAAAGGTGGTGCATATGAAGAAAATTTATATAGTTGATATTGTAAAAAAAATGATAAAGAGCATTTGTTTTTCTAACAACAGAATCCTCTATGGTTTATCCTAGAAGATGCTTTAAACAAGAATTCCTCATCTGGTCATCATTCAGAGAACAACATACTCCATCAATTATCCTGGGTAATGCTTAATATTATTTTGTAACAATTACTTTTACTCAAGGAATGCAGCAGAAACCTAATCATTATTATACTTAAAAAGCCCAATCACCTATCCTAGGAATATGAATTCTTAAGAACTAGATTCCAAAAGCTTTAGATAAATGTCCTTTTTTTATTAATTTATTAGTACAAGAAAGAATGAACAACAAAAACAAACTGCATACCGTGTTAACAAGGAACTTTCTTTTCTCCACTGATGAGATGTTCTTCCCAACTTTTTTCTCCACTGGCTCTTCAAGATTAGAATAGTTGCAGTCACGCACTTTACAAACTTTCTGAAGAAATAGTTAATGATTCATCTTTTACTAGATAGAATCTGAGAAGCTGAAACTATTAACCAAATGCCCACAAACAGATTATTTTCTTTTAAGAGCATGTTGAATCATTAATGTTTGTCAGCATTTTTTATGTAAGAAAACTGATGCATTTAATGTTTTGCATGTTTAGTTCTCAGAAAAAAACAATATATTCTTACATCTGAAATTTCAAAACAGGAATCAATCATTATCAGAGATTGTTTACCAAATACTCATAGATAATTGGTAGCTCATTTAACATATGAGATTGAAGAACCGATCATCCAATCTCAGATATTTGGAAATTTGTTCATCTGAACATCTGAACACACTAGATCAGCCCATACACACTTATCAAAAATAAATAAAAATAATAATAGAAAGCCCTTATGCTCCATCTATGATCCCTCATTGAGATCAGAAAACTATCCATCCAATGCCTATTGATGTAGGGAACAAAATAACTCAGTTTCTGAACAAAAGAACCCCTGCATCACCTCTCCTCAGTAATGTAATGTCTAACTTGTTATTATGCAATGCATTTTTGTAAATAGTTTTTTCTTTTTTGCATTATTAATAAGTAATGGCTTTAAAATGTGAATATTAATCCCTCAACTGCTCATGAGATCATCTAACCCCCAAAATTCAAAACCTAAAAAAATGTGTTTCTACTTTCTATTTCTAGTAGTAACGACTAACTTGATATTACGAAATGCATTTCTGTAGATAGCAGTTTTTCTTTTTGCATTGCCAATAAATAATGTCTTTGAAATGTAAATAATAAATCCCTCAACTGTTCATAAACACATTTAATCCCCAAAACTCAAAACCTATATGAAGTCCTTCGGATTTATCAAACCATGTCATCCACCAATGTTCCAGGAACATTCCTATCATTCAGGTTAAATCTTTAATGATTTATTACTCTAGCATTTGTCCCATGCATATTTGTCCCTTCCTTGATCTTTTGTAAATCTCAATCTCAATTCTCAACTATAATAACATTCTTGATATTCACACTCCAACATTCTTGATATAATAACTTTTCAAGCGATAACTTATCTTCATTCTCAAGCCATTTTATTTAGAAAATAACTTAAGGAATGTGATCTAAAATACTTAAACCTAAAGATTTGTGTTTTTTAAGCTTTTGGACGGGTGGATTGTGGATAATGGAAAACTTCAGAAGATGGCTTGTTAAAGAAATACAATATCATCAAAGAATATAGGATGAGAAATGAGGTCCTGTCAAAGATAATATGCACTATTGTAGTCTATAAAATATAAAATGCATATATTAAGGTCTTATAAGTAAAATGGTCTAATCAATCCATAAAGAAAAGTAACAATCACAGCAGCAAAGTTCTTCCATTCTTCCACCAAGTTATATGTTTCTTAGTTAGGAAATAATTACAAAGACTAAATTTGGAAAAATCCAGAAAGCAAAACAACAACATTGATCATAAACTCAAGTTTCACCTCCTTAACATCAGTGTTTCATTTGGAGTTATTAAAAGTTATGACATGCTTTGAAGAAAATAAATCAAATGAACAAATCACTGGTTGATTCATGCATAAAAGAGAATTGCTTGACAGCAACTTAATAATTAAAATTTGTGCAAATGAATTTATAACATGAGCAACAGGGTCAGATCCTTCGAAATATAGTACGGAGAAACCTCTAAAGACATCGTTGCTCCCAATCTATTTTGCATTTGTACCTGACCATCCATTGTTCCATCATACGTAGAATAACTAGACGAGCTGGTTGCATAATTCTCGCAACAGTACCCTGCTACAAACTACATAAAAGACATAATTGGATAATTATATCAGCATGAACAATAAACACTACTAATGCAAAACAAAGAAATACCTTAGATCAAGTTTGTAAGTCAGTGTTCTGGAATAGATAATAATGTATTCCATTATAAAGTGCATACACTGAAAGGAAGGCTAATCTTGGTTTCCATAAATTATACTTGTCAAATGAAAAATAAAAGAAATAAAACTTTCACTGCCTCACCAAAAGAAACAATATCATATAAAGATGCAGAAGAGAAAATAAGCAAGACATTGAAAAATATGCAAGAGATTTGAAATTAAAGATAGGACGAATATCACAAGGACTACTGTCAAGTTCATAAGTGGAATAAGTGACACGAGTATGGCAGACCAAATCACCTCAATGACTCACTCACGTATCAACAATCTGGTTAAAGTCATAAGTCACACTATCCTTCAAGGATTGAGACAAGACATGACCTGGACAAGGGAAGATAGAGCCAATCAAATGATGAGCAAAATGACAGGTAGGGAGATGTCCTTCAACATAGCATCCAGAATGAAAGCAAAAGTCCTTGTACAATTTGAAATACCAACATATAGAGTCCAGATTTCTACTAACATTATAACTCAGCCAACCTCAATGCAAACCCTGATTTGCTCAAGAAGCTTCAAGACAGATCACAGTGGCGACTTACAAGTGATCCATTGCTAGATGACATAATTCTAAATTCCAAGAATGTCTATTTTGCCCCAAGACCTATTTTTGCACAAAAAATGATATGCAAGTCCACCAAGGATGTCAAACTTGTTTTCATTGCAAAGGGGATTATAAACTCAGATTGAAGGATTGGATCATAGAATAATAAGATCCTAAAATTTATACATAATTAATTTTAAGATATATCCATATACTTATAGAAATTGTAAATATTTTTTATTAGGATTTAATAACTCTCATATGTTATTAAGTTAATAATTGTATTTTCATTAAAGTGGATGAATAATTCAGTAGTATTATCTCTTATTTTATTAATAGGATTTTCATTAATAATTTTATTGTTTTGTGTTTTACCTTTTTATATGTTTACAATGATCATATTGGTCCCTCATTACTTATTCAAGCATCGCAACTCGAAGATGATACCCACTGATTAAAAAAGTGGTTGTATGAGCAGTGATATTTCTATGGTAATAATTAAAGAACTTTGCATATTACTGATGATAATTGAGGTAGAAATTTAGAGTCATCAATTTATAGTTTATATTATACAAGATGAGAGTGCTCAACAAACTGACAAATCCTAGCAAATAAATACAACTCATTGGATAAAATAAACTACTTTTGTGGTTCCGTAGAACTTTTAAACAATAGAAATTTGACATTGGAATTAGCAGCTTGAGCAAAAGATGATCATCTACATTGGGCTCCAAAGAAAATTTTGGAATTAGGATAATTATCGCTTTACCATATGGATTTAAAAATAACAAAAGCAAATAAATTTGAGGTGTCGAGCAATAAAAACAAAAGCAATCAAACTTGCTGTGTTGAGCAATCAATTGACAAGGAGGAATACTTCATTTTACTTTGCATGTATTCTTCGACTTCATTTGTCCTTCATTCAGATGCTTTTATGAATTCTACAAAAGGAAAACAAGAAGAAGAAATGAAGGTTTAAGTACCTTATTTCTTTTTCTTGTTCATTTGTCCTTCATTTTACTTTGCATGTATCCTATCATCTCAGCAATTGAAGACAAATGCCAATCCTCTTCCATTACATAATCACAAGAATCTTCATACCAGACTTACCAGAACATCAAATCCCACAGGACCAGCGTTAATAAGATTAAAGATATGCACAAGTAAACGACGGAAGAAAGGATCCTCTACTTAACATTTAAACAAAGAACCATCATATTGCAGGAAGCAAAGAAATTCTTGATTTATGAAAGAAAAGTGCATCAACCTGTCAGGTTCAAGTTCTTTCCTATGCTACAACTATGAGATCTTTCCAATGCATAAGTGAAGGATAAACACAGATCTCACTGAAAGAAAATAGTTATGGTATACTCGATTAATATCAAAACCCACAAAGATAGGATAAATGAAGAAAAGATCATTTTTAGACAGAAGAATTCAAATTGAGCACCTGAGCATACACGAGATCAAAATTTTGACTTCTGACTACTTGATATCAAGGATCAAGAACAAAAAAGATTGAAAGTAGAAACAAATATAGGAACTAGTAACGAAAGAAGAAGAGGAGAGATGTATCACCTTACTCGGTCGGGAACAGACCGTGGTCCTGAACAAGAGGACGGCGCCGGGCCCGTGGAACATCCGGCAAGCGACGGCCTCATCCCGGAAGCGCCCCAACCCGGTTCCCTCTAGGAGCTGCGGGTACCCGATCACCCCCGCCCCGTCCCGCTCCAGCTTCTGCTTCGGCGCATCCACAAACGTAATCGACTCCGCCGCCGAGCCGCCGCCCACGCCTCCGGCCGCAACGTAAGGGGAGGAGGAGGAGAGGAAAGCAAGAGGGGGCCACAGCAGGATCGGGTGCTTCACGGAGCGGCACTCGATGCGCCTTTGCGAGCCGCCCAGTAGGGTGCGGAGGAGGGATCGAGAGTAGGAGGAGGAGCGCCACATGGGTCGTTGTTCGATGGTAAGGCAAGGGGAGGGGGTAATGGTCCGGAGCTGGGTAGGTTTGAGGTGGAGGGGAGAGAGATACGATTGATTGACTTGGGAGGAAGCCCGAAGACTGGTGCCAAACCCAGTCTTCAGAAGAGCATTTTTATTGCTTCCTTACTCGATTATGATGCAATTGCGATGGCAATATGATTATACAGCTAGCTCCCTGTGTCATTTATAAAGATTTTAATAATTTATCATATAATTTTAGGTTGAAATCCCGCTTTTATTATTATTATTATTATTATTATTATTATTATTATTATTATTATTATTATTATTATTATTATTATTATTATTATTATTATTTATCTTTTATAAAATAAAAATAAAAAGACATCTAAAATATTTCTTCTTTGGTACTTCCAATATTGAATTTTATCATAGTAATACAAATCCCAACCATGTCATATCATGTATATCTAAGATCACCATAGACAGATAGATCATCTTTGGGACCAGGAACTCTTAATCCATTTCGGATGCGGGGAACAAAAATAGCTCCTGCATCAACCACCTCTGCTTAGTTTTGTTGTTGTATAAATAAAAAAGGCATTCATTCAATTAGGAAATCAAAACATCAAAATCAAAATCAAAATCAAAATTGAGAGGGAACCCTCCAAAACAAATTCTCTAGCTATGAGCAAATCCTGAATTGGACCACTCGTATTAACCTAACCTTCCGTGCCAGCTAAATAATATCAACCAAATTTGATCTTAAGGTCCAAACAACACTACCTGGACCATTCGAATAAAGTGACTATTTCCGTCGCATCAGTTTTGATCGCCAGCTTTCGCAGGCCTCTGCTATCCGATTCAAGTAGCACAACTTCAGGTATGTAGCAGTTGCTGGTGTGTGTTATTTTCCTTCTTAATTGCAAAGCCATAAGCCACACCTCCGTAGGAAATACTGAATGAGCTGTCGCATGCAATGTCAAAATTCTTTGTAGAACCGCCAGTGGAAGAATGTTTAATACAATACACCCTTTTAAACTGGATATTAGTTTTATACTTAGAATACTAGATAGATATTAGAGTTATTTAGAAATAAAATATTAAAAAATTACAAAGAAACTAGCAAAATATTTTCATATATAAGAACTCAGATCAATTAGAAGTAATGATATTTTCATATGCTAATTTTAAAATTACCTATAGGAAGTCCACTTTATTATTTATGTTTATATTAACTAGAGGAGTAATTTATAAGCATTATATAATATAAATTATATTATCAATAGTAAATGTTGATTTTATGATATGATTTGAGACTACTAATCAAACTTTATGATTATGAAATCTTATTTTAAGACTTAATGTGATCATTGTCAAATCACTAAATATATTTGATGACATACCACACCAACTTTTTTCTTTGAGAATGACTAAACATATTAGCATAAAATACTTGGTAGTTAGAGAAAGAGTCCAGAAATAACTTACCAAAAAAAAAAGAGTCCAGAAATAACTAATACAATTAAGAACCTAAATTTTAAGTATTTTAAAAATTATATTCTTATTAGTGGACCTATGAGCAGCCATAAGATATAATGATGCTTGTTTGAATGGACTTTATGATTGATATTCTTATTTATATAATTAAAGTTATATATTTCTATTATTATTTTTGTATTTATGTTTATACATATTATGGTTGAATATGAATAATAAAATTATCTTGACAAGATAAGTTACATAAGTCATATTAAATTATATTAGGAGAGACTAATAGTATTATAATACATAGAAAAAAGTATGACACTAATATATACAATAGCTATGACTCACATTATTAGTTAAACTTAATAGAATATTATTATATTTACTAGACTTATCGGCCTATTTTATATACATGTGCATATAAATAATTTTTAAAATTTTTTAACCCAATTAGGTAAAACTACTTTTAAATAAATTTTATTTTATTTATTTTGATTTGTATCCTTTTGTATCTTATCAATTAATAAGTAAAGCAGAAGAATATTATATTTTATGACCTTAATTAATTGATTAAGATATATTGAGATTCAAATTTGATTGTGATTAAAGTCATTAGCAAATAAAAAGAATGTCCACTTATATTAGGATACCTTGAAGATGATCTAAAGGACTTTTCTAATTAATTTTCTTAGACCCTATATTCTATATAGATAGGATCTTTTAATGATCATAATTATAAAGATCTCTTCTCTCATCTCTGGATGGGTTCCGACTCTATCAATTATAGTAATCCTAAAAATATGAAGAGAGAAGAGCCTGTAGATTAATATTCACAACATATTATGAGGTATTGTATTGATTATCATGTTCAAAAGACACACATCTAAAATATTTGATTTTAATTTTAGTATTACATTTTTATATAATAATTTTATTTATTATGATTGCAGTTGCAACTCTTTTGGTTGTAGGTTGCTGTCGACTACTCTTGTTGCAGGTTGTAGGTTGCTATAAGGTGGTTGCAGCAGGCTTGGAGGAAGAAGGGTTAAACTGAGTTGCTGCTTGGAAGACGAAGATGTCAAACTCTCCTCTTCTTCTTTTATTTTCTTCACCTTTTTCTCTCTTTCTCTAGGCTTATAGGCTAGGGCATACGGGATGGTTGTGCACCCCCCTTAGTTTATAGGTTGGGGCATAAGGGCGAGTGCCAGGGAGTTTAGGAGTCTCCCAGGGCTAGCGCCCCTTGTTGTTGCCTTCAATTGGCTGCCAGCTCCTTTCCTAATCCGACTCCATGTTGCTAGTTTGAGCTGGTCAGATATGTAATTGGTTTAGCCACATCCAACTTTGAAGCTTAAGATTAAGCTCGAGTTGGGTCCAGTAGCATTGAGATTGAATTAGAGTTTGAGTTCAAGTCCGGTTGACCTAAATTACTAGACTTTCTGCATAAGGAAACGTCTTTTGTCAAGTTTGCAGAGCTCATAATACTCCCAATTCTGATTAACCAAAGATTCAACCATTGAATCGACCAACCAGTGGAGCTTAAGGGCTTGACTAATATGGCTTACTTTAGTAATAACGTGGGTATGTATCAGATACGATAAAGGGAGATGCAATATTCAAAGACCATTGAAGGAAGAGAAGCATTTTTAATTAACAAAGACTAGCTGAGATCCTCGAGTTCCTATAGTGGTTATTTATACCAAGTGTATCCGCTACCTTGTAAACCAAGATTAAACAGCCTAGTTTTAGAGATAAAATCCCGAATATTTAATAGAGATGGGTAACATGAAAAGGCCTTACCCTTCCTTTATTCATACGACGGCGAGAAATAACATTTATGTCACCACATATATAATCCACGAAGAAATAAAAAATTCACATTGATAAAATTGATTCCTACCAGCATTATTACTAAACATATATTGCGGTAATTAGCAAGGGATTTTACTTAACCATTTCAATACCTTGTTTGATGACTCAGAGCACTTACAACTTTCTCCCTCGTTAGAGCCTAAACTTCCATGCGATAATGGTTTCACCGAAGCATCTATTGGATGAAGGCACCCGTCCATTGCCTTACCAACCACTTAGAATCCTAGCACTTTTCTCCTACAAGACAGTCTTCCAATAGAACAATAATAGAGATGCTACGGTGCTTAATGGGAAATAAAATAAAAGCACAACAATATATGTCTCTGACTCCTCTATATTTTAAGATAAAATTATCTTAACAAGATTAACTTGAAGTTCTGGTGACTTTCCCTTGGTCCTATAATATTCTGTCTTGTCAATTTTTTTTATCTTACTTGTTCGGTGGCATTGAGATGGAGCAAAGATCATCCATTCTGGCTCAGCTACTTTCGTTTGTAACTATTATCTCTTCCACGCTTCCCTCCTTTGATGCTCATCGAAAAGTTTTAATAACCTTTCTTACCATGACTTCAAAGTTATAACCATTGGTAGCCTCCTTATCCCCTACATTGGTCTTCTCTAATGGGGTTTTGGTCGTTAAAAAGACTATGAACATCTTGAAAACTCTCCTAATTTATCTTGGAGACTACCCTTAAGCTGTGAACATGTTGCTAAGGGGAAAAAAAAGGCTGAAATCTGACTTGATGAGACTCGAAAGATATTGAGCTCCCTAATGACCCACCTCCTTGCAACGTTTGATAACATACTCATTAGTTTAGCCTGAATGGTGCAAGTCCTAAGATTGAATAGATTAAGTATAGTGATAGACTAATTATATATTATCCTCTATAATTAGTTATATGGTCCTTGTACTTTCAAAAGTTATGTTGTGATCAATATACTTATGAAAGCGAAATATTTAATCTCATTTCTCTTTATGTCTTTGACTTTGCTAGCGAAAATACCGCAAAGTTTACCCTTGAGCACGTGATAACTCTACTTCACTTAAGTTTACCACTAAGCATGTATGGTATTTCCATCAACAAAATTGATAACGTAAAGAGAAACGAGGTTAAATGTTTTACTTTCATAAGTATAAAGATCATAATCTAACTTCTGAAATTATAGAAACAAGGATGTTAAAGGTAGGTGTAATATATATTTAGCCTAATAGTAACTGTTAGCCCTCGCCTTCATGGCTTCTAATGGATATCCAATAAGATAGGGGCTCACACGTGGTTTTCAGTTTCGCGGGTCAATCAGTGAACTCATTCTTCAATGATCACCTGCACTGTAGCCCTAGTGCCCCCACACGAGCAACTATGAGACCAACTACATTCATCATATGGACGGGTATATAGTACACTAGCTTGTCCGATTATCTTGATGTTCCTCTCGAGTAACCTATGACTAGGATTATTTAGGGTTTGTGTTTAAAGGTGCAGTCTCATTATCGTGATATCATCATGATCCAATTTTCATTGTATAGCTTCATGGACATCACAATATATTTATGCAATAAGCAATATGAAGTGAGAAATACTATAATAATAATGAGAAAAAAGAATAAATGTCATGTCACACTTGCCATCACTCATATGATTGTCTTACAGGGCATCAACGTACTTCACGTAGCGAGCGATCTCATCCTCGCTTGCCCCTTCCTCGAGCATAGGCATCACTGTATCAAGGACGTATGTGATTTTCTATGCCATGAGAACAATTCTCAAGTTACGGAGTCAATTTATATAATTTGGGCTAGTGAGGCGGTTG